CCCCTCCCTGGAGTTCATACATTCTGTCATTTATATTATAAAGGCCTATTATGTAAAGTTAGTGTCCCAAGATGTCCCTCAGTGCAAGTTTATCCACTGGGGTTTAGCCAGCCTATCTAGAGTCCCTCCGTTTAAGGAGATCAGCTCTTCCTCACCTAGTAGTAATCTGCTGCCAATAATTCTTCTACTAAGAGTAAGTTAAGCCGTCTGTCCATTTCCACAGTTCTGTGCTGGGTTTTTGTTTGCTTGAGTTTGCATGGGTGTTGTGCATAATGACACCATTGCTGTAGGATCATATGCAAAGGGTCCCAGGAGCCTATAGGACTCTGTTTCCATATGGTCATGTACCTCTACCCTGGCTCTTACAATCTTTCCTCCCCCTCTTCTGCAATGGTCCCTGAGCCCTGGGTAGGTGGACTTCAATATAGGAGACCTGTCCAAGGACCTACACTCTGCAGACTCTTATAGTCTATGCTTTGGCTGTTTCTTCATAATTAAACTGATGGATCCAAAGCCCCCAGAATAATAGATTTAAACTAAAATCCCCCAGGCCTGAGAAAAACTGTACAAGGAAGTAAAAATGAAAAATAATTCTAAATGCTAAGAACAAGCTGAGCTGACCTTTTTCATGCTCCTTTGCCCAAGCTGGAAATCATCCCAGAAATTCCCCCCTACCTCTGCTTGGCGCATAGCCGCCGCTTTCTCTACTTGGCACACAGCCGCCGCTTGTATGGTTTTAAAAGAAAGCTTGTGAGCTGAATACTTCACTTCTCCTTATGATTAAGGTAGAAGTCCATCTATAGATGAATAAACCTCTTGCTTGTTGCATCTTCTGGTTTGAGGACTGAGTTATTGGGGTGCAGCCTCCCGTGGAAGTTGGGTACCCCAGTCTGGGGGTCCAACAGGGGTACTTTTTTAGTAGGGAAGAACTAGTTATTCAAAATACAAAGAAGCTAGGTGTGATGGCACATGCTTGAAACCTCAGTACTCAGGAGACCAAGGCCAAAGGATCAAGAAATTGAGGCCAGTGTGTAGTGCACAGCAAGTTCATTACAAGCTTGGGATGCAGAGAAGAACTATCTCAAAAACCAACCAAACAAATCAGTAACTAACTAAATATATTCAAATGTAGAATAAGTCACAGAATAAAACAAATTAGTAATAGATATGGCATTAACACTGAAAAGCTTAGTTGAGTGTGGTAACCCATACCTCTAATCTTAGTACTTAGGAGGACGAGGTAGGAGGATCAGGAGTTTTGGCTACATAAAATATCCAGGCTCAAAAGGCCAAAAACAAGCAAACAAATAATACTGTAATGACTTCATTTGCAGCTAAATTTGTATGGACATTTATGATTATCCTAGATAAGTTGTTGAAAATGACAGTCCTAGGAACCAGTGTTATTTAGCTTTGCCAAAACTTTTTGTTACATATTGTGCCACCACACTCAGCCTGTGTTTGCATTAAAATATGGTATAGAGAGATGTTTGACAACCTACATGAGATATGTAACAGACTGATGAAAAAGCAGTTTATGAGAAGGTGTGTTGTTAGGACCAAATTTTGGTTTTAAAGAAAAGCAAAAATGATATAAAAAGGAAATTTAAAGATTTTTAATAACTTGGAGACAGTGAGATTATAGATTTTAACTTTCTTCTACTTGATTTTCAAATTTCCTATATTAAAACTGAATAAATACAAGATAATACAAGGTTTTAAAATATATTTGTTAATTTATAACTACTCTGTGTGACTGTTTCACCTGTATGTAAGTGGACCCATGTTGTGCAGTGCCGGCCGAGGCCAGAGGAGGCCAGTGAATTCCCTGGAACTGGAGTTATGGATGGTTGTTAGCTGCTGTGTGGGTGCTGGGAATTGAACCCAGGTCCTCTGCAAGAGTAGCCAGTGCTTTTAACTGCTGAGCCATCTCTCTAGCCTCAAGTTTTTTCTTTGTTTGTTTGTTTGTTTGTTTTAATTTGGGGTTTCTTTGAAACAGGATACCACTCTATAGGCTAGATTCTCCTGGAATTTACCAAATTGGGATTGGAATTAGCATGCCCGGCACAAGTGTTTTAAAATTAATTAATTTAATTATTTACTTATTTGTGTGTGTGTGTGTGTGTGTGTGTGTGTGTGTGTGTCTGCGTGTCTGTGCATCTGTGCGTGTGTCTGTGTTTGCTACAGCACACCTGGGGAGGCCAGAGGAGAACTTGTAGGAGTTGGCTTTCTCCTTCCACTATGTGGTTTGGAAATTATACTCAGGTCATCAGGTTTGGCAGCAAGTGCCTTTACCTGCTGAGCCACCTCACTCCCTCCTTTTTTTTTTTTTTTTTTTTAAAAAAAAAAAGAATATGGATTTGGGGGCGGAGAGGTGGCTCAGTGGTTAAAAGTGCTTGCTGCTCTTTCAGAGGGTGAGAGTTTGGTTCCCAGCACCCATGGCAGGTGGTTCACAACTCCTCATTCCAGTTCCAGGTGATCCAACACCCTTTTCAGGCCTCTGTGGGCACCCCACACACATGTGCATGCACACACGCACACACACACACACACACACAAATAAATAATAAAATCTTTTTTAAAATTTTTATTTTTAAAATTTTGTGTATGTATATATTGCCTGCATGTAGGTAAGTGCACCCATGTCGTGCAATGCCCGCGGAGGTCAGAAGAGGCTGTTGGATCCCCTGGGACTAAGTTACAGACAGTTGTTAGCTGCCATATGGGTGCTGGAATTTGAACCCAGGTCTTCTGCAAGAACAACTAGTGTTCTTAACCGCTGAGCCATCTCTCCAGCCCCAATACATCTTTTAAAAACGGATCTGCATATGATGGTCCATGCTTTTAGTTCTAGCACCTGGGAAGTTGAGGTAGGAAGATTTTCTTGTATTCCATGCCAGCCTAGGACAGAAAGAAAAAGAATGAAGGAAGGAAGGGGGAAGGAAGGAGAGAAGAGATTGCATTTGCAGAAACAGATCCATGTGAAAGTTCTCATACATGCTAATGATTTGTCCATTCATGTCATCAATATTTCCTTAGCACTTAAATTGGGTAATCAATCAAACATTAATGATAAAAGTGAAGCCACTTTGAAACCTATTTGCATTTTCAGTCTTCTTTATTGAATCTATTAGAAGCTGGGTGGTAAGTTTCTATGGTTTGTATACCCCACTCTGGCCTGCCCTGGGCTGGGATGCTAAGAACTTGTTCAGGGCCATCTGTTACCCTCTGGCTGCTTTGGATCTAATGGATTATTCTCTTATACCTGAAAGGTCTCATTCAGGATGTCACTGCTGCAGAAAACAGGAGGCAGTGGGATGCCAGAGTGCCTCAGACTCTGCTGCAAATGATGGCAGCTGCAGATGTCACCTCCACCTGCCCCACCATGTCTAATGGTGAGTCTCTGGTCAGCAAGGAAGTTCAGGGCTCCAAACAGCTATGTCACCAGTGCTCATTGTGTTGGAATAGTTTTCTGCTTCTTAGACATTGTTTTGGTGTCCCCTCCATTACCAGGGAGACTTGCTGCTCATTATCCTAGCCCATTGATGACTCTAGCCATACAAAAGTAAAGGAAGTAAACTCCAGGCTGCCGTCATTCCTGAAGAAAGGAGGTAGAGGGAGGGACATTCCATTTGATTTAGCCCCCAATGCCAACTCAATGACAGCCTTGTCATATCATGAAAAATCATTTTTTTCTAACAATAAAATTGGTATTGGGGTTGGGGACGTAGCTCAGTTTTCAATGGCCTAGTATATACAAAACCCTAGGCTCAATCTCTAGCACAATCAAAAAAGAAAGGAAGGGAGGGAGGGAGAGGGGAGGGAGGGAGAGAGAGAGAGAGAGAGAGAGAGAGAGAGAGAGAGAGAGATCCTTATGAGATTTAGAGAGTTAACAATGCAGAGAAACATAAAATTGTGTTGTAAGCCATTCAGGCTATTTAAATATTGGGAATGTTAAGGTATATGATATTTTCCACCTGACTTCCTGTCTGTATGTTTGAAGTTCTGACACAGCAACTTCTGAATGTTATCATTGTGTGTGATGTATGTATGTGACCATATGTGCATGCATGTATGTGCATATGGAAGCCAGAGGTTGATGTCAAGTGTCTTCAATTGCTCTTCACCTTCATTTTTGAGACAGAGTCTTTCATGAAACTGGTGCTCATGTATTCAGCCAGGCTGCCAGGCCAGTGAGGTCCAGGGATCTACTTGTCTTGTCTTTCCTAGCACTGGGGTTACAGCTGTGTATGCCATGTGCTTGATTTTTGTGCAGTGCTGGAGATCAAACCCAACTCTTCATGTTTATGTGGAAAGAACTTTTAAAAAAAAATTTACTTAATAACTACATGATTAGAAGAAACATTTTGTTATAGCATTAACATATTCAATAACAATTTCTAGAGTAAAGATGCATCTCTTTCAAAATTGGCTGTAAGTTTTTAGGTTCACAGTTTGTGGTCACCGGCTGTGGCTGCTCTCCTCTGGCTATGGCCACTCTCCTGCTCTCTCAGTTCCTCCGATCAGTTGTCCAGTCCAGACCCCAGGGCTGGTGAGGAGTCTGTGCCAGCATCGCCACATTCAGATGCAAGAGACCAGGTTCAGTGACACAGATATGCATTATTGCAGGAAGGCACAAGCTTATATAGGGGTAGTGGTCCAATCACATCATAGCAAGTAGGATACCTTATTAGCATAACAAACTTAGCATCCTATTAGCATAACAGACTTAACCTCCTATCACAGAATAGCGGGTAGGATGCCTCATTAGCATACTGGGTTTTAGATTACAGAGCCTGGATTCCCGGAAACCACATGACCCTGACTGTTGCAATATCTAAGTGTTGCAATTTTGGATTCCAAGGGTGGTGATTAGGGAGTGGCGAGCTCTAGGCATCAGTCTCATGATCTGCCAATGGGAGCAAATGTCACAAGGCATTCCTTGTAGCTCTAGCGGTTGGGGCTATTGCCTCAGGCCTGCCGTATGGCTGTCAAGACTTTCACCCTAGGCTCAAGCCTGTCTCCCACAACAGTTGAATTAATACAGTTATACAATACTGAACTCAGTATAAACCCTATAAGACATAAAATTGAATGAGGTTTTAACCTTTAAAAAGATCTCCATTTCATTTTAAAATATACAGTTTCATACAGAAAAACTCATTTTTAATGCAACTGACATTAAGATGTTTGCACAGGCATTTCTCTATATATTTGATTATTACTAGTCACAGTCGGTTACTTTCTGAGATCCTTGGCACCTGAGCATGGATATAAAGTCATCAGGTAGATTTCAGTGGTCATGTTTTTCACATCTACTAATTAACATGAAGCAAATTTTTATACTGCTTCCTCAAATACAACTCTTTTTTTTTTTTTTGGTCTTTTTGAGATAGGGTCTCCCTGTAGCCCCAGGCTGTCCTGGAACTCACTATGTAGACCAGGCTTGTCTTGAACTCACAAAGACCCACCTGCCTCTGCCTCCCAGTGCTGGGATTAAAGGCATGTGCTACCATGCCTGGCACAACTCATTTTTTAAAATTTGTTAATTTTTTGGTGTGTATTTCATACAGAACATCCCCAACATTCTTACTTAGCTATATACCCACATCCCAAATAGCACCCTCCCATAGCCCCCACCCCCCACTGGAGCCCACATACTGTCATCCCTGTTACTGTCCACTGTGTTGTCGGTGCCCCCAGCCATTCCCTAGTGGTCGAAAGCACTTTTTGCCCACTGAGCTGTCTCCCCAGCCACTGGATGTTATCTTAACAAGCAGAAAAAAAATCTTAACAATTTCTATTGCTTATTTCATATGTTCCTTTTCATCATGTAGCCCTGAGAAAGGGTTAAAATTTAAAACCGTGCTGTAAGTTGAAATATGCAGCACAGCCATCTATGTCCTTGGATTCAACCAATTATAGATGGAAAATATTCAGAAAAAAATCTTGCATCTGGACTGAACACATATAGATGTTTTATCTTGTCATCACTCCCTAAGCAATACAATACAACAGTGATTTATATAACATGTGTACTATGTTATATAAGACATCTAAGGTTGATTTAAAATATATGGAAAGTCCTGGAGAGATGGCTTAACTGTTAAGAGCATGCACTCCTCTGGCAGAGGACTCAAGTTCAGTTCCCAGAGACCAGGTGGCTCACAACTGCCTCTAATTCCAGTTCCATGGGATCCAACAACCTTTTCTGTCTTCCTTGAGTACTGTACTCACTTGTACAAACCTGCATTCAGACCACACATATACACATAATTATTTAAAATAACAAAAAGGAAATATTGAAAAAATAAAGTATTAGGCATGGTGGCATGTCTATAATCCCAACACTTGAGAGGTAGAGGGGGTGATCAGGAAGGCCAGGGGGTTATCAGGAGTTTAAGGAGATCCTCATCTACATAGCCAGTTTAAAGCCAGGCTGTATGAGACCCTGTCTCAACTCCCACCCCAATAGTATGTGGGAGAATGTACATAGGTTATATGCAAATAGTGCCCATTATATGTAAACTACTTAATCATGTACATAGTTTTAAAGGATTTTATTTATTATTTTATGTATATGAGTATATTGCCTGCATGTATGTTAGTGCACCTGTGTTGTGAAATGCCCACAGAGGTCAAAGAAGGGCATCAGATCCCCTGCAACTAGAGTTACAGACAGTTGTTAGCCACCATGTGAGTACTGGGAATCGAATCTAGATCCTCTGCAAGAGAAGCCAGTGTTCTTAACCACTGAGTCATCTCTCCAGCCCACATGCACAGATTTTGATATCACTGGGTGTTCTGTAAGCACTTTGTGTTGGAGACCAAGGGCTGAGTGTGTATCACTGAAATGAGTAATTATCTGTGTGTAAGCTGACTTAGAATTCAGCAAGACAGTTAAGGGAACCCCAACTTAAAAATAAGCAAATGGGCCGGGCATATGGCACACACCTTTAATCCCAGCACTTGGGAGGCAGAGGCAGGCAGATCTCTGTGAGTTCAAGGCCAGCCTGGTCTACATAGTGAGTTCCAGGACAGACGGGGCTACAGAGAGACCCTGTCTCAAAAAGACCAAAAAAAAAGTATTGTATTTAAAAATAAATAAATAAGCAAATGGAAGTTTATCACAGTTCACAAGAAAATATGACTCTTCCCATCAGCTAGGTGACAATAAGGCAGTACACTTTATGCTAGGTTATAATAAAATGAGGCATGGTATTACTTCCAAGATTCTAACATTCTGTGATTTTATAAAAACTGCAACAAAGAGTGTTTTTATTTCAATAACAGTACTTTTTTCAGATGGCCACGTTATTGTGATGGAAGGTGGTCCAGAACACAGGAAGCAGTGGCAGCGTGGTACGCCAAGAACCCTGATGAGCGCTTTGGCAGCAGCGAACCTCTGCAGCAGCTCTTTTTCTGCTGGCGAAGGAGAACCTGGTGTGTAGTTTCCTTTTAACAATGTTTAACTTTGTAATAGTCTCCATCTGGTGCAAAAGAAGCTTTTTTGACAAGTGGTGACTGGGATGTTTGTCTTTAAATATCCATATTTTGCACACAGTAAGAAATTACATTTGTTTAGGGATGTGACAGCCTTGGGTTTTCTCTAAGATCTATGACCTCTCCAGCCATGTGTATTTGGCTAGGTTTGCAGTACCACACACAAGTTTCTTCGCACTGAGTGCGTTTTAAGTGCAATTAAGTACCTGTTGATTACCTCCAAGATAAAAGTGCCACTACTGCACCAAAGTCATTTGCTGTACCAATCATTGATGTGGTTATTAGACCTTGAAGCTGGGGTTGGAACCATTGATTGATGTTCTCCCTTAGCAGCTTGTATAGTGTCTTCCAAAGCTATGAGAGCTAGCCTTGAGGGGAGGAGGTTTCCAGGTCAGTTCCAGGTTCATTGCTTGAAATCCTGTGTCCAAAATAAGTCCTATCTTCAGCAATAGTGTCTTACCTTCAAGTTCTGGGAGATAATCAACTGCTGTGGCAAAAGCCTGTGTAATTTTGGGAGTCTCTTGGACTACCATGGCCAACAGCTCAAAGGAAGGTTTCTCCTGTCTGGCTCTGTTTTTTGTTATGTAGTCTTCAGTTATACACATGGACTCATGTAGAGAGATTGTATGTGTAATTTTTAAGTAGGTTGTTGAACTAATATGATTCCTTCTGGGTTTTTTTTATAGTTTTTAAAAATTGTTTTAGTCTTTTTGAGAAAGGGTTTCCCTTTAGTCCCAGCTGGCCTAGAACTCACTTTGTAGACCAGGCTGGCCTTGAACTCACAGAGATCCACCTGCCTCTGCCTCTGGAGTGCTGGGACTAAAGGGATTTGCCACCATGCCTGGTTCTCTCTGGTTTTCTACATTAGCTAGGAATTATTTATCTCTCTTCTCTCTCTCCCTGTCTAATCCTCCCTCCTTGCCCTCCCCATTTAGAGTACTCCCATTTTCCCCATTTCTCCCTTGATAATACGAGTCTCTTATGGTCCCACCCCTCTCAAGCTCCTTCTTTCCGTTTATACTCAAAGTTCCTTGTATGACCCTCCCCCCGTCCAATTTAAATACCCTTATTTTACATATTTCTCCCTTAGTAACATCTGTCTCTTACTGTTCTGCTCTTTCAGGTTCCTTCTTTCCCTTTACCTCCCTGTTTACCTTCCATTTTCCTGGTTCCTGCAGTTAAATCAGGATATATACTCACATATAAGGATTTGGTGCTAGGATCTACATATGAAGGAGAACATATGTTGTTTGCTTTTCTGAGTAAATGTTACTTCACTTAGTATAACAGTTTCTAGTTCCAACCATTTACCTTCAAATTTCATGATTTCATCTTTCTTTACTGCTGAGTAGAACACCATTGTGTAAATGTACCACATTTTCATTAACTGCTTGTCAGTTGAGGGAGAGTTCTCCACTCTGCTTTCCATAGTGGTTGCATGAGTTTGCAGTCCCACCAGTAGTGAATGAGCATTCCCCTTTCCCCACATCTTCTCCAGCATTTGGTATCATTTGTTCTCTTGATCTTAGCCAGTCTGACTGGGGTAAGGTGAAAGTGATTTTAATTTGCATTTCCCTAATTACCAACAATGTTGAACAATTTTTAAAGATGTTTCTAGCCATCTTTATTTCTTTTTTTAAGGACTCTCTGTTCATATCCTTACCCTATCTTTTAGTTGGGTCATTTGTTTTCTTGATTCTTTGTTTTTTGAGTTCTTTATATATTCTGGATGTTAAACCTCTGTCAGATTTGTCACTGGTGAGGTCACAAAAAGACATTGTCTGTGAATGGCACCAGCCTATATGATACATCTACAATGTAACCTCTACACCTAAGCCTCATGGAACATAGAACAAGGGGTAAAGAGGACTAATGAATCTCTCAGTTCTCATCAATGAAACTCCCTCATGCAACAGAGGGCCAGGAACACAAAAGGTCACAAAAATTCAAAGTGTAGAGAGTAAGAGTCTGCAGAGTATAAGTCCTAGGACAGGACTCATATATTAAACTCCAGCCACCCAGGACTCAGGGACCATTTTGGTAGAGGGATTATAAGAGCCAAGGAGGCGGTGCATGACCATGTGGAAATAAGAGTCCTACAAGCTCCTGGGACCTTGCTCTTATGAACCTACAGCAATGGTGTTAGCATGATAAATATCTATGCAAACTTAAGCAGACAAAAACCCAGGACAGAACTGTGGAAATGAGCAGCAGGCCCCAATCTTATTCGAAAATTGGCAGCTGATTACTGTGGGTAAGGAAGAGCTGATCTTCTTAAAGGAGGGATTCTATGTAGGCTGACTAGACCCCAGTGGGTGAACTGTTCCCCACTGAGGAACATCTGGGGACACTAACTTGACACAATGGGGCTTAACACAAATGACAGAATGTATGAATTCCAGTGGGGGAGTATGGGAGGGTGCCAATTGGGGAGGGGGTATAAAGATGACTAAGATTGATTAGGTGTTCTGTGTGAAATACACAAAATTCAATAAAAAATTTACAACCCCTCCCAAACAAAATAAAAAACAATGTTTAACTTTGTCAGTGTTTGTAAATGCAGAATGGTGCTAATAGTACCTTCAGCCTCGGGAGGTCTAGGGGTGTTTCTCCTTGTCTGAAGCTGATTGGCTCTGACCAAGCTGGTTCCAAATGCAGTAACAAAGAACATGAACTTCCAAGAACAGAGACTTCCTTTTCTATAATATAATCAGCTGACAACTGATGAGAAGGCCTGGAGCTCTATAGATGGTGATCTAGAATAACTTGGCTCTATGTGGGGGAATCCATTTATTTCTGATGGTTGCTTTCAGTGGGATCAATAAGAATGTAACCTAATATAGGTTATTTTTTTCTCCTTTTAAAAAAGGTTTTAAAAATATTTTATTATTTTTGTTTTATATGTATGAGTGTTTTACCTGCATGTACGTAAGTGCACCCACATCGTGCAATGCCCACGGTGGCCAAAAGAGGGCATTGGATCCTCTGGAATTGGTATTATGGATGCTTATTAGCTGATGGGTACTGGAACTCAAACCTGGGTCCTCTGGAAGAGTAGCCAGTGCTCTTAACCACTGAGCCATCTCTGCAGCCCTCTACTATATTTTTAATACTAGATTTTCTTATTGACTCATAATAGTGACTATATAATTTACTTCATGTTTGTTTAAACTTAAATTCATTCTTAAGTGATTTCTTCTCCACTGAATCATAAATATAATTTCCTATTATCTATGTAATTTTTCCCTAGGAATTTTTACACTAAATTCGTTCTGAAGAAATAAGTCATAAGTCAGACATGGTGCTGCGTATCTATAGTCATAGCACTTGGGAACTGGTTTGAGGCCAGCCAGGGCTACATACTGAGACTTGAAGTTAGTAAATAAAGTATAAAATGTAGACACTTAACTTTGAAGTATACAAAGGTTAGTTTATGTCCGTTTTACCCTTTGCAGTGTATTTATGTTTGCTTTGGTGTGGAGGATTGTATTAGTTACCTTTCTCTTTCCTTGCTCTAACAAAATATTGACAAAGGCAACTTAAGGGAGGAAGGGTTTACATTGGCTCACAATTTGAAGATATACTCCATCATGATGGGGAAATGAGGCAGCTGGCCACATTGCCTGGTAGTCAGGAAGCAAAGAGACATAAACTGATCTTTCCTGACTTGGTTCCTCCTTTTTATTCAGTCAGGGACTCCACCCACATTCAGGATGGGTCTTCTCTGGGTCTTCGGTTGGACACACCATCCTAGACAAACTCCTAGGTACATTCACAGATACACCCAGAGGTTTCCATGGCGATTCTAAATCTAAACAAGTTGAAAAATGGATATTAATCACCATAGTGATGAAACCCAGGACCTAGTGCATGCTAAGTGCACACTCTACCACGGCGCTACACCCCAGCCTCTGTGGTTATTGCTAGGAAGCTTTAAATAATGGGTAAGACTGGACACTGTGCTCAGATAAATGTGGCATAACCTCTGGCTCCAACTGAACGCCATTATAAGACAACCAGCCTTGGTTCCCATTTCCTCACTTGCAAACATCAGTTATGATGGTATCGATCTCAACTTCAAAATATTGTTTTAAATATTAAATGAGCCAATACGTGTAAAGTAACAAGGAAGTTACCTAGGTGCTTAATAAGTTATAGTCTTTAAAACGGGCTGGCTAGATGGCTCACCAGGTAAAGGCACCTGCTGACAATTCTGATGATTTGAGTTCTATCTGTAGGACTGACAAGTGGAAGAAGAACCCCACTCCTGCAAATTGTCCTCTGACCTCCACATGCATGCCTTCAGCCAATACGTGTAAAGTAACAAGGAAGTTACCTAGGTGCTTAATAAGTTATAGTCTTTAAAACGGGCTGGCTAGATGGCTCACCAGGTAAAGGCACCTGCTGACAATTCTGATGATTTGAGTTCTATCTGTAGGACTGACAAGTGGAAGAAGAACCCCACTCCTGCAAATTGTCCTCTGACCTCCACATGCATGTCTTCTGTGTGTGTGCGTGCACACACACACACACACACACACACACAAATATATAAAATATAATAAAAATAAAGATGAAAATAGTCGTAAAGAATACTGCTTCTAGGGTTGGGGACTTGGCTTAGCAAATCTGAGACCCTGAATTTGATCCCTTTCCCCCAAACAAGAAAAACCAAACCAGAAAAATTGGTTCTGATTATCATATAATCTTTTTTTTTTCCTGTCTTTTTGAGACAGGGTCTCCCTATAACCCCTAGAGCTCACTATGTAGCCCAGACTGGCCTTGAACTCACTAAGATCCACCTGCCTCTGCCTCCCAAGTGCTGGGATTAAAGGCAGACACCACTATGCCTGGCTAACATGTAATCTTAAAATAGTCATTTAGCCCCTCTGTGAGTTAAGATCCTGAAACTCACCAATTCTAAGATGCATACTATCCTTTTTGTGGTACTGAGGATCAACACCCTGGGTCTTGCACAGGCTAGACAAGTACTCTACCACTGAGCCACATTTCTGGCCCGTCTTCCTCTTCCTAATGTTTCTAAAATTGAGATGTGGCTAGGCATGGTGGTATATGCCTTGCAATTTCAGCACTCGAGAGGCTAAGACAGAGGGATCATGAGTTTGAGGCCAGCCTAGGCTGCATTGTGAGACCTTGTTTAGAAACAAAACAAAACAAAACCAACAAAACATTGGGATGTAGAGTAATCAGTGGTAATTTACGATTCCAGCTGTCCTACATCCTTGCTGACATCTATTCATTTCTGGTTCTTTCACAGGGGTCATCCTAACAGGATGAAGTAATATCTCATTGAGGGTTTGGTTTTTATTTCCTGGATTGCTGATGTTGACCATCTTTCCATAAATTTGTCATCATAAGGGATGGAAAGGTGCTCTTGTACCACACGTTAACCCTGTCCCCCAAACTGAGGATACAGCCACACCCCCAAACATTAAGTTCCATTCTCAGTCCACAATCCTCATTCTTAGGTGTGCTCTGGCTGAATTTAGGAACCCAAATGATAAAAGTGCCAATTAACAAAAAGAAAGTACACAAGTTTGTTAAATGCACACATATGCAGGGATTGCATAACGGAGCATAAAGAAAAGTCCCAACAAGATGCTTTAATATATTTATTTAATATTTTATTTATTATCTTTATTTTATGTGTGTGAGTGTATTGGCTGCATGTATGTGAGTGCACCCATGTCCTGCAATGCCTTGGAGGTCAGAAGAGGGTGTCGGATTCCCCTGGAACTGGAGTTAAGGGCGGTTCGGTTCATAGCCACCATGTGGGTGCTCGGAATTGAACCCAGGTCCTCTGCAAGAACAGTCAGTGCTCTTAACCTCTGAGCCATCTCTCCAGCCCTGATGCTTTTATAATTTTTATACTAAGAATAACTCTATGGAGAAGTGACAGGACAAATGAAGCTCTGGACTAGGGTAGTAGATTCTAGGAGTGTCGCCAAGAGTCCTTGGGGAGGTATAAAAGCCAGTGGAAGGTAAGGATTCCTCAAGGAGTTTATTTATTCAGGTTCACTTGAGCCTCAATTGGCAGTCTGTAGTGAGGGGAAGACACACCTTCTCAAATGATCTATATGTATCATTTTATTTAGGAAAAGACAGTCCAAATGACATTTTCCTAAGTAATCTCTTGAAACAATCAATATACTAATTCAACATAGTTTGAGATGACATGTTCTTAACTCTTACTTCTAAAGGAATGAGATGTTCATTGATATAAAGAAATAACACAGTACACTCTCTTCAATCTAGTCCTAAAAGAAAACATTACAATTTTTCATATTTATTTATTCACTTGTGTGTGTGTGTGTGTGTGTGTGTGTGTGTGTGTGTGTGTATAGGGGCACATACCATTGGCATGTGTAGATCATAGTACAGTTAGTTCTCTCCTTTCACCATGTGGGTCCAGAGATCAAACTCAAGTCAGAACTCAAGTTGTCAGGCTCAGCAGCAAGCACTTTTACCTGTTGAGCCATTTTGCCAGCCCCACTTTGGTTTTTATGGTGATAGGGATGGGCTGTAGGGCCTCATGACTGCTAAGCACACTCAACCACCAAACTATCCTCTCAGTTCTAGAAAATGAACTTGTTTGTTTTGTTTTACTGGACAATATCTTCTTGTGTGTAGCCCAGGCTGGCTTCAAACTCATGTATCCTCTGGCTTCTGCTTCCCAAGTGCTGGGACTGACCGGTATTACCATGCCCAGATCAAGAACATTTGAAAGAATAAGACTGGAGAGATGGCTCAGCAGTTAAGAACACTGGCTTTTCTTGCAGAAGACCCGGGTTTGAATCCCAGCACCCACATGGCAGCTAACAACTGTCTGTAACTCCAGTTCCAGGGGATCTGACAGCCTCTTCTGTCCTCTGCGGGCAGTGAACAACACAGGTGCACTTACCTACACACAGGAAAAACATGCATATACATAAAATAAAAATAATAAATAAAAAAATTAAAAAGAATAACTACAAAAAAGCAACAATGAAAAAGGGTGTGCATGATTCCAGTTTGCTCTGCAGGCATTGGTGGTTCAGCCTAAGCACAGATAACACTGGGATTACAGAAACTGGGAAGAATAAGAGTTGTCCAATTTGGAAAATCTTTAATTCTGACATTCTTTTTCTTTTTTTTTTTAATTTTAAAAATTGAAAAAAGTTTTGTGTGTATGATTGATTGTTTTGCCTGCCGGTATGTAAGTGCACCTATGCATGCAATACCTGTAGAGGCCAGAAGAGGGCGCAAGATCCCTGAACCTGGAGTTAGGGATGGTTGCTAGCCACCATGTGGGTGCTGGGAATGGAATTTCTTAACTGTTGTATATAAACCCCAAAGTGGGGTGATTTTTGTCTTTTTCTTTGCAATCATTATTCAAACACTCCTTTTCGTTGTCTTGTGTTACCCACTACTTTTAGTACAACACTGAATAACTGTATGTTGTATTAATTACTTTTCTCAGCACTGAAACCAAATACTCGACAAGAAGCAAGGTAAGGGAGAAAGGATTTCTTCTGGGTCATGGTTTGAAGAGATACTGTCCATCATGGCCAGGAAGGCATGGCCGCAGATGGCTCTGTGGTGACATGAGTGTGTGGTCGCTGCTTGTTCACACTTCAGTGCATCAGGAAGCAGAGGTGGAACAGGAAGCAGGGTTGAACTAAATTTCAAGGCCCTCTACCCAGCAACCCACTTCCTCTAGTTAGGCACTACCTCCCAAAGGTTCCATAAGCTCCCAACATCACTGCCAGCTGAGGACCCTGTGTTCAAATACATGAGCCTGTGGGGCCCATTTCACATTCAAACCACAGCAGCATCCATGCCATTCCCATCACTACCTTGTTTTGCCATCAGGAGTGTCATTCACTATAGGATTGATGGGATAATCAGCTTCATAGATTAAGCTACTTTAGTCTTTGTCTTTCCTTTCAGTAGTAAAGATAAAACAACAGCTTCCTAAAGAAGAGGAAGAGGTAGAAACCGCCTCTGGCATTGCAGTAGATGAAGAACAACTGGACCCAGGATCTGATGGTGATGATACGTAAGTAGATTATATGCAATGGAAATAAAGCAAGCGCTTGTAAAAAGTGAAAATGCTGTGATTGAGATAGAAGGTGCCCCACAGAGACCTAGCCAAGGAGACTGAGGTTTACTATATAAACAGATCTCTCTCTCTCTCTCTCTCTATCTCTGTCTCTCTGTCTCTGTCTCTCTCTCTCTGTCTGTGTGTGTGTGTGTGTGTGTGTGTGTGTGTGTGTGTGTGTGTGTATGTGCATGTGCACATCTTCTTGTGTGGGTGTATTGTGTGTGTGTGTGTGTGTGTGTGAGAGAGAGAGAGAGAGAGAGAGAGAGAGAGAGAGAGAGAGATAGAATTTTTTGTTAGTTTGTTTTAAGGTTGAATCATAAACCTGGTCCACACCAGGCTACATGTCTATAATCCTAACACTTGGCAGTTATAGGCAGGAAGGCAGAAGGATCAAGAGTTCAGTGTCAGGACTGGAGACACTTCAGTGGTTAAAAGTACTGGCTGACACTGCAGAGGACCCAGGTGTGGTTTCCAGCACCCACATGGTGACTGATGACCATCTTTAACTCCAGTTCCCGGGAATCCAATGCCCTCTTCTCATCTCTGCTGGTTTGTACACAGGGTATACTTGTACACATGTGAAAAAAACTTTCATACACATAAAGTTTTCAAAAAAAAGTTGAATGTCATCTTTAGTTACAAGTAAGTTCAAAGCTAGCCCAGGCTTGAATTGTATTGTGTTGAATATGTGTACCACATTTTATTCATTTGTGCATTAATGATGCATATGTTCATGAATACAGTATAGTTCTCCATCTATTTATGTCTTTTGTTTTGAAACAGTCTTGGTCTTTCTGTGTTTCCCAGACTGGTCCTCAAATAAAGTGGCCTTCCTAGTCCAGCCTCCCAAGTACCTGTCACTGTGCCTGGCTTTTAAAAAGGAATTTTTGTATTTTAAATATTCTCCATCACCACTTACTTTCTGGTTGTTATTGCTATTTTTATTTTTATTTTTTGGCAGCACTAGGCATTGAACTTAAGACTCTGTGTATATTATAGGTGAATTCTTTGAATATTGTTTTTAAGTCTGATCTTGGTATTATCTATTGAGTTTTACAGTTAAATGAATGTGTGCTTTATATCCAAGCCAATTTTTTCTTATATCACATTGCTCTCACTCTAATAATAATAATAATAATAATATTATTACTATTATTATTGGCCTTTTGAAACAGGGTGTCTTTGTAGCTTCAGCTGGCCTGGAGCTCACTATGTAGACCAGGCTGGCCTTGAACTCACAGAGATCTGCCTGCCAAGTGCTGGGACTACAAGCATGCACCACCACAATTATTAACCATAATTTCGGCAGTACTGAAGCTCAAACCAAGAACTCTACATATGCAAGGGAAGAACTCTACTACTGTGCCATATCCCTAGTCCCTAAGGTTTTTTATTTAGTTTAATTAATTAATTTTGAGACAGGGTCTCACTATTAAGCCCTGACTGGCCTAGAACTCATTATGTAAATCAGGGTGGCCTTGAACTCACAGAGATATGCTTAGCTCTGCCTCCCAGGTTTCTTTCCAAATTATGTGTCATACATTAATCTATCTCTCAGTATACTTATAGGAAAATGTATCAAAATCTTCCATAAAAATAATCTCATCTAGAGTTAGTTCATCATCTAGTTAAAGAAGGATCAGGGCTGGGCATATAGCTCTGTGACAGAGCATGTGCTGAACATGGACAAGAAATTTGATGCCTAGCACTGAAAAGAAAAATGTGCTCATGTATCTCACAACTGGGTTCCTCCTGTTTTGTCATTTTAGTCTGTGGGCTTTTTTGAAGACCCTTTCTCTCATACTGCCTTTCCTCTCCCTATACATGTCTCTCATACCTAATAGGTTCTTCTTTTCTTCTTTGAGTCCCACTCTAGTTTTGCTAGTATGACCCTCAAAGAGCAAGGAGGGTTTAGAAAAAAATAATCACAGAGCTGGAGAGATGTTCAGTGGTTAAGAGCACTGACTGCTCTTGCAGAGGACTCTGATTTGATTCCCAGCACCCACATGGCAGTTACGAACTGTCCTTAACTCTAGTTCCAGGGGAAGCCCTCTTCTGACCTCTGTGGCATTGCATGAAATGGGTGCCCTCCCATACATGCAAGCAATACACTCATACACAAAAAAAAAAAAAAGTAAAGTATTAAAAAAAAAAAAAAGAAGAAGAAGAAGAAGAAGGAAAGAAAAAAATAAGCCCAGTAATGTGGCTTGTCTGTTTTGGCCCATTGTCTGGGAGGAAATTTTTCCATAAGAAATTTATAAGCATCAACTTGGCTTCACTTGGGTTTGGAGTTTGAATCACAGCCCTTGGATGGTGTGGAAACTCTCACACTGGGAAATTAGCACTAAAATGAACATTAAAGGGTAGTATCACTCCCAGGATCTCTGGAAATAAATACAAACACCCTGGAGTTGGAAGCACTACATGTTCTCAGTAAAACACTACTGAAGATAAACTCACAGCTGAAACATAAGAACAGCATGTGGCCAGGTGAGACCTCTCTCAAAGTGAAACAAAATACCACCCAGAATCTCCTATGAGAGACAACTGCAGACACAATGAATAGTTGAATTAAGTCATGAAGAATTTGTATAACATAATTATGTTGTGAAGTTTATCACACACACACACACACACACACACACACACACACACGTGAATGTTGTATGTATTCATGAGAACAGGTGGTGACACCAGATGCTGAACTTGAAGTATAAGTTTTGCTTGATGGGGAAACGTGGGAGAAGTGTGCCTTTTGACTTGTCCCTCTGCTTGCATCACAGATGAAGACAGGCCAGTTATAATAAAGGGCACAGCAGACTCCTTAGAGCACTGACTACTCTTGCAGAGGACCCGGGTTTGATTCCCAGCACCCACATAGCGGCTACAAACTGTCCTTAACTCCAGTTTCAGGGGAATCCGAAGCCCTCTTCTGACCTCCATGGCATTGCACGACACAGGTGCACTCACATACATGCAGGCAATATACTCATACACATAAAATAAAAATAATAAATAAAATATTTTTAAAAATAATTAGGAATTAGGATACAGAATACAGCTCAGTGTAGGGTGCCTGCTTGGCATATGTGAGAACCTAGGATTTTTCTTTTTTGAGGCAGGGTCTTGCTGTTCAGATCAGCCTGGCCTCTAACCTGCAATCCTCTTATAGGCATGAGCCACCATGCCTGGCTAGAACTGAAATATATTCAGTTCTAGCCATACATATATATTCATATATATACATGGAAGAGAGGGGAAGAGAAGGAAGGGAAAGAAGTGGTAGGAGAGGGACAAGGACAGGGAGAGACAGACTGACTGAGATTCACTAAAGATCATGAAGATTAATATTGTCAGCCCAGTGGTTAAGAGCACTGGCTACTTTTGCAAGAACCTGGGTTTAGTTCCCAGCACCCACATGGCAGCTAACAATCTTCCATAACTCCAGTTCTAGGGGATCTGTCACTCTCTTTTGGCCTCTGCAGCATGCAAACAC